AGCACGTCTGTTCCTGCCGGGCGCCACACGCAGGCAGCCGCCGAGCACAAGCTGCAGGCAGGCACGCCGTTACAAAACCCTGCTTGGAGGAACCATTTGAACCTGCGTTGGCACTTGACAAGCTCCCCACCAGCGCGCTGCAGTATTCCCAGAAAAGCAACGTCAAATTTGGAAACCTGTTAGCACAAATCATTTTAATCTCTCCACTCACCCTTGCTCGGTACCCAAGCATGCGAGAGCAGCACAGCTGTGCGACGGGGAGACTCGCTGCCCGTATATTAAGTACAAGCAGCTGGCGGGGCCGGGCTCTGCCTCGCAAGAGGAAGACGTGTGAAGGGATTTCAAGCTGTGAGATGTTTTTTGGACAGAGACCGAGCATGCAAACAAACACAGCGAGGGACAGAACAAAGGCCTGTGCAATGCGAACCATACCCTTCCCATGGAAGATCGCGGCCCAGCTCACGCTGCCGGCAGTGCCAGGGATTGTGACTTTGGCCACAAGTCCCAAGGAACTTGAGCATGCTACGGAAATAGCGTGGATCTCACATCCCTGCCACGCCGCGCCACAGGGCAGCGCCCCGGTGACAGATGGGCAGAGCAGGGAGAGCATCGATGTTCCGGGTGGGCTGCGAGGCACCGTCACGCCGCTCGGGAGCCTGTCTGCAACCGCCCTGCCGAGGGACCCGCACCCCACGGCCACCCTGACCTCAGCTGCGGCCAAAACCTTCCATCGCAAAAGTTGAGGCTAACGCCGAGCGAGACCCATGGGTGCAGCCTCTCACCCACCGCTCGCTTGCCCAGGCCACCGCGACACAGGCAGCCACCCTCGCCCCAGCAGAGGAGGGCAGCCCCAACCCGGGGTTCAGCCCTGGCTGCCTGGACGGACAGATAGCCATGCCTCCGGATGGGCAGCATGCCCGAGCCTGCCCTCCGTGCCACTGTCCTGTACGGGTGACGGAGGGCACCGCACGGTGCCGGGCTCCCAAAGGGGTGCCGGGGAAACTGGGGCCGAGGGGAACCTGCTGGAAGGCAGAAAAGGTGGTGGGGCTGGGGGGAAGGTACATGGAGCATCCTGCACTGAGCACCCGGCGATGTGTCCTGGGCGCTGCATGCTACCCTCCGCACACCATGCGCTGTGCACTGCGCACCCTGCACTGCTCCGGGCACCGAGCACCCCGCACCGCTCCACGCACCGAGAACTGCTCCGGGCACCGAGCACCCCGCACCGAGCGTCCCGCACCGCTCCGTACACCCCGCACCCTGCCTCGCTCGGTGCACCGAGCATCCTGCATCACTCCGGGCACCGAGAACTGCTCTGGGCACCGAGCACCCTACACCGAGCATCCCCGCACCCTGCATCGCTCGGTGCACCGAGCACCCCGCACCGAATATCCCGCACCACTCCGCGCACCGAAAACTGCTCCGGGCACCGAGCACCCCGCACCGAGCACCCTGCACGGAGCATCCCCGCACCCTGCATCGCTCGGTGCACCC